GTTAAGGGAAAACGCGTGTAAATCGGTGAAATCGTTTATTTAAAAAATCAAATTAAATTTCTTTTTCAAGTTCAATTAGTATAAAATTCAGGAAAAATATTCAGTTAGGCTTCCGCTTTTCCAAATCCGAATTGCCGGGCCTTACGCTTGACCCCTGCCATCAGATTTTGTACAGCCACCTTGTCCACCTTCTTCGCCGCAGAAAGCCAGTTTGCCTTGAACTGCTGCTCGCCCTTAGCAGTTTTTTTGGTCTTCTTTAGGTTCCGCTTGACAATAGCCCAGTATTTCTCAATTGGGCGGAGCTCTGGCGTGTTGGGAGGGTTCTTGTCCTTGGGAACCACCTGCACGTTGTTGGCGGCGTACCACTCCATGGCCTTTTTACCGTAATGGCAAGATGCCAAATCCGGCCAAAACAGTACGGAACAACCGTGTTTCTTCAGGAAAGGCAGCAGACGTTTATTCAAACACTCTTTCACGTAAATTTCTTGGTTGACAGTCCCGGAAGCTATGAAAATGCTGCTTTTCAAGCCACAGGTACAGATGGCTTGCCAAACCAGATATTTCTTTGCGAACTTTGACAGTTTCATGTGCTTGAAAACATCTGCTACTTTTCCCCTTCCTTTTGCCGTATAAAACTCCTGTCCCGGAAGTTGCTTGTAGTCGGCTTTGACGTAGGTTTCGTCGTCCATTACCATGCAGTCAAACTTCGTCAGCATCGTCGTGTACAGCCTCCGGGATCGCGCTTTGGCCGTCGTATTTTGTTTATCATCGCGATTTGAAGTCACTACCTTCTTGTAAGTCGATAGTCCGGCTCGTTTTTTGGCTCGATGCACGGTTGTAGACGATACACCCAGCTTATTTGCGGCATCTCGGAGAGAGAGTTTGGGGTTTCGCTTGAAACTACCGGCAACTCTCTTTGTCGTCTCAGCGGCTTCCGGTTTTCGATTTCCCCCCGATCCAGACTTCCTGGCTGTCGATAAACGTTCCCCAAACACTTTAATTACATTTGTAACGGTTGATTTGGCAACTTTTAGCGATTTTGCCAACTTTGCGTGCGAGTAGCTCGGATTTTCGCGATGCGCGAGCAAAATTTTGATACGTTGCTCTTCTTGCTTGGACGGCATTTTGACAACTGAAGAGTGAATTCCAAAATCAAAATAGGAGCAACATTCTACACACACACACCTTCAAAATGAGGGGTGTTCAGGCTTTTTAAATGCAAAATTGAAAGAAATACGTCAAGTTGATATTGACCAAATTTTGACCGTATCACCCTTTACAATGTGTATGGTAACATCTCTGCAGTAAAAATGAACATTTACCACCTCTGCTCGTGAGTAGGGTTCATTTTTTCTACTTTATTGATGAGATTTTCAGGGTCGTGGACATTGTGATCTCTCAGATTCTGACCATGTCCCTGGGGGTACCCGGACCGTCTCCAGATGTGACCAATGTGGTTCTGGGCACATGAAATGACTAGAACTTGTTCTTGAATTCTCATTCGATGGTACTCGATATGGCTACTATTGAACTTGTTTTCGATTTCTCACGTGCTTTGAGGCATTGAGTGAGGCACGTTTCAAGAAACTTCCAGTCTCGAGATCCGTACTCACCGCAACATGTTCCGGCCATATCTCCGAAACCAGTTGATCGCTTTCAATCATATTCAATGGAGTTCTTTGAGACCATAGTAACTTTCATTTGGCGCTTGTTGCTTGAAATGTGGTGCTTTGATTGCCGGGAATTCTATCTTGCAAATTTCCGTCACACCCACACACAAACACACGCCCTACGGAGAAGGAGAGGGAGATAACGTCGAAGTCACCAACGAGGAACTCGTAGCAGTGGCGAAAGGATTGAAGGTGAAGAAAGCTCCCGATCCGGATGGAATCCCCAACGTAGCGTTGAAAGCGGCGATCTAGGCATCCCCGGACATGTTCAGGATGGTGCTGCAGAAATGCCTGGACGAGGGTCACTTCCCTGACGGGTGGAAGATACAGAAGCTAGTGTTGCTACCGAAACCAGGAAAACCGCCTGGGGATCCAGCATCGTACAGGCCTAGATGTCTGCTGGATACACTCGGAAAACTCTTGGAGAGGATCATCCTAAACAGACTGACGAAATACAGGCAGTTCGGATTCCGGAAAGAGAGATCGACGGTGGATGCAATTCGAAAAGTGGTCGAGAAAGCTGAGAAGGCGTCCAAACAGAAGCGAAGAGAAGATCGATATTGCGCCGTGATAACGATGGACGTCAAGAATGCGTTCAACAGCGCCAGCTGGGAGGCCATCGCCAAACCGCTGCATAGAATGAGGGAGTTATTCCCAGAATCGGGTTCTGGTCTACGAGACAGGCATGGGACAGAGATCGATTAGGATCACAGCGGGAGTTCCACAAGGCTCCATCCAACGCTCTGGAACGGGATGTACAACGGCGTGCTAACGCTGAAACTGCCCAAAGGATGTGAGATCGTTGGCTTTGCGGACGAGGTCGTTTTGACGGTAACAGGCGAGACGCTGGAAGAGGTGAAAGTGTTGGCGACTGAGGCGATGGACATGATTGGTAACTGGATGCAAGGAGCGAAGCTGCAAATAGCTCACCACAAAACGGAAGTGCTGTTGGTCAGTAACTGTAAAGCGGTACAGCGGGCAGAAATCACCGTCGGTGAGCACGCCATACCGTCGAAGAGTATGTTGAAATACCTGGGAGTGATGATCGATGACCGGCTAAACTTCAATAGCCACGTCGAATATGCCTGTGAGAAGTTTTCGAAGGCCATCATGGTCCCAGCAGTAGCAAGAGGCGGCTTCTGGCCAGTGTGTCGTCTTCGATACTGAGCCTGAGTTCCAGCGCTTGAAACGAAGCAGAACCAAAGAAAACTTAGCAGTACGTTCCGGCTCATGGCCATGAGAGTCGTGAGTGCGTACAGAACCATCTCGTCGGAAGCAGTATGCGTTATCGCCGGAATGATCCCTATCGGCATCACCTTGGCGGAAGACACCGAGTGCTACAGGCGAAGAGAAGCCGGAAGAGTACGGAAAGTTGTGAGGTTGGAGTCATTGGCTAAGTGGCAACAGTAGTGGAACACGACGGAGAACGGTAGATGGACACATAGACTAATACCGATTCTTTCGACCTGGGTGAACAGAAAACACGGAGAAGTCAACTCTGGCCACGGTTGCTTCAGGAAATACCTGCATCGGTTCGGACACGCAGCGTCACCCCTCTGTCCGGAGTGTGGCAACGTCGATGAAATGCGGGAGCATGTCGTCTTCGACTGTCCAAGGTTCGAGTCAGTGCGAAGGGAGATGCCCGTTCTTAACGTGGAGAATGTTGTCGTTGAAATGTGTCGAGAGGGCAGCAGGGCAGTCATGCAGATCGAAGCTGCAACGTAAATGGAGAGAAGAGCAGCGATCTAGCAACGCCAGCTAGCGCTGAGAGTATGACAAGTGCATGAGCACAGCCACCCCCCGCAGTAGTCGCTTCACAGTGGTCCCGGGGGATCCAGGCATAGGAGAAAATAAGGAATGGGTTTTAGTGGAGCTCATCCCTCACCATCGCTCATTAACGATGAGTTTGGTAAAGGAGATGCTCGACCCGATTCGTACCTTCCTGAAAATTGTCCTTTGCTCGCTTTTGACTTTATACATACACCCTGGTAGTCCTATAATAATAAAGATTGCCGTAGGGTTGATTTAAACCTTCTCCGAATTCCTTTTCCCTGAAATTAATTTTCATTTGCTGGAATCCTGTTCATTATCTCCATAATAGTTTCTTCAGAACTAGCTTGACATTCGCCTTTAGTTCACTATACAATAGTCTTGAAACACTTACCCGAATTCCTTTAGGATATTATCCCTGGAATTCCGCTACAAAACCCTTAAATTTATTTAGCATTCTCATCATTATTCTTGAAGCACAGACAAACAGACATAACACATTGAATATTTTCACTGTAAAACATCGTTGCTAAAACATTACCGCCATCTGTTGAGTACACTGTGGTGGGTAGTACGCTGAACAGATGGCGGTAGTGTGTAAACGTCAAACGAAAGGGAATTGACTATGCGCGCCACAGGTGGCGGTACTGCCAACTACGAAACTTTTAAATTGACCGTTAAATGCTTGTTCGATGAATAACTTGCGAGTGTTATGTCTGTTTGTCTGTGCTTGAAGCATTTTCAGAATTCTTAAAAATGTTCCATGCAATCATAAGAGGCCTCGAATCGAAAAAAAAGTTATTCAAATTGATTCTAAGCACCTCTGAAATAACGTGATATTGCAATCATAATTTTTACTAAATATTGAAAAACGGGCATGTTTTGAGATTTGAACCGGGAAAATCGGGAAAAAACCGGGAATTTTAAAATGAAAATTCAGTGGCCCCCTGCCTAATAGATTTTCAAAATTCTGAAAACTAACTCAATTTCACATGTTTGATAAATCAAACGTTATTCCGTAGATCTCACTGTTTTTTTTTCGATGAGCATTTAATCGAAGACAACAAATCAAGAAGACTGGCAACTTTGCCAGAATCCAAGCAACAGATACAATGGCGCTGCGCTTGAGTGAAGGTGGAAGCAACGTATAGAAAAATGAGCAAATACACAAACCCTTCTTCTGAAGATGTAATCTTTGCTATCAAATTCGTTCGAAGCATTTAACTTTGAGCGGCAGATGACGCGATTGTACCTGTCTCATAGCGTTCGTATGAGAAAATGGAAGAGTAGCCAGTCTTCTTGATTTGTTGCCTTCGATTTAATTCAAGACATACAAAACTCTACGGAGCCGATTGACATTTAAATAATTTTACAATTAATTCGAACTAATATATTTATTTTCGTGTAGTCCAAGTTTTCAATTGTTTGATAGTCTGATCTTCCATTGAGGAAAAACATGCAGTTTCAGTTAGAATGCAACAGCCAACTTTTTATCAAAACAATCATCTCCCTGATCTGTACCGACATTAACGAAACACATTTCTTATTCCTTCTTTTCAGATCCCAACCGGCAGCAACAATGTGTCGCTTAAGTGTGAGTGACGCAACCAAGACCGGCAATCCACATGACTGGCCTGCAAGGGTTTAGAAACGGTGCCCATTCCATCCCGATAGCTTCCAGCAAGTCCTTCCCTGCCGAAAGCCACCCAATTGTATGTCAGTTACTAGTGCGGCGGAAAAATGATGAGTCATTCCGGTGGTAAACACTCTTCCACTACGACGACGACAACGACATCGTCCTCCGTGGCACTGGCCAACAACCAGCAGGAAACAAGTGGTAGTGGCATCATCGTCGCCAGGATGTCTGAGAAAGTTCGCACCATTAGCGACAGCGAATCGGAAATCAACTACGATCTCTTCAGCACCAGCGTAACGTCGGACGGTGGAGCATCGTCAACGTCGGTGATGACCAGCTCGCAAATTTCGAACGCTTCCTCCGATTCGACGCACATCAAGAGTGCCAACCTGACGCGGTCGCAGAACCTGGGAGGGGTAGGTTGTCCGATTTGAGATTGCATTGAAATTGTATTATCCCATCCTAGTAGTATCATAGTTTCACTCACACACCTTCGATAGTAGCGTGCATAATGCAATTTTGGGTAACCCCTTGCAACCACTTTGAAATTTCATATGCTGTTACATGCTGAGCCATGGTAATATCCTTACATGCACCGTTGACCTTTACAAACGTATACTTCCATCCTTACATGTGTATTCCCCAACCTGCAACTGGAACCCTTTCCCGCATCCCCCCTTATGTAAGTCCTAGTAGGTTACCTATCCATCCGCTCTCAGATTCTATTACGCACGACGCCAAATCACACGACTGTTTGTGCAATCGACATTGGAAAAAAATGAACACATAGGTTGGGGAAAAAACCAACACCGGACACCACCCTCAAGTTCAATGTTTGAACCTTGCCGGCCATCGCGCCGCCGACTGCAACTAGCTTCAACCGCTTGCGTGCGCGTTGCGGTGGTGTAGGGTAACATGTGCATAATTTACTTGCAAATCGAATTATGATTCACTGCGCCGTCCATGCTTCAGCACCCGAACTGCTGCAACACCGGGGTATCGGTCCGGTGCACTTTCCATGGCATGCATTTATTCAAGTTGATACACGGAATACGGCTATTGGTGGCACTGATGAGCTTGTTGAAATATGATTTTCGACGCGATACTCGATGCATTTGTTGAGGGGGCGAATTTTCGGTGAAGAAGCAGAGACCATAAATGACGCTAAATATGGAATTGAGTTAAAATGTATATTGATCGCCAGCGGTGCCGCTTTCCGGAGTATTCATTTCCACAGAAATCCAATTTTTAAAACACCTCCAAGTTCAAGATAAGAACGAATATTTACATTAAGGCGCTCTATTAGCGCTCTATTGGACAAGTCTAGAGGCTTTTATGTTCAACTTCTGAGGAAAACCACGCCTTAAAAGTCAACTCCATATATGTCATGGATATTTTATAGGTCAATGACGGAAACCCCCAAGCAACATTGCAAGTTTTATCAAGGTTTTAATACATTCTATAAGTGTACATCATGCTCGAGAGCAAGGTGCCTTCCATTCATTTTGGCTACAAAAATGTTTTATGAAGTTTATTTGTTTATTTGTTATGTTTGCATCAACAGACTAGAAATAGTCCCAATGATGTGTTGTAAAAAAAGTACAGATTATACAGACTGCATATACTACAGTTAGAAACTAAAATAACTAGGAAAGCATTATCAAGTTACTAAAAATGTATAAGTCTTAAATTTTACACTTAGCTGTTGGGCGTCAAGCGCCTTCGGTCAGCAAAAAAGGCAGATAACCTTCGGCGAAGCATATTCCGTGTCAAGTGGAAATAGAACATCGACGCTACTCGGTTGAACACTCGCTGCAAGCCATAAATAGCGCTCCCTAAGCTATAATTAGTGGTCGAGGTTGAACATTAATGTTCACTTGTTGCAGAATTGCTTCGCAGTCGATTCTTCCTTGCAGAGTATAGGCGACGATTAAGGCTCTGAAAACATCTCTTCGGATACGTAAGGGCTCGACATTGATCAATTGGCAGTGATTCTTGTAGCTTGGAAGACGAAGTAGATATCTCCAAGGCAGCTTACGGAGCGAGAAGCGAAAAAACGTCGTTGCACAAATTTAATTCGCTCGCCCCATTATTGTAGTTCGGGATCCAGATTGCAGAGCAGTATTCCAACGTAGATCGTACGAGAGAGCAATAGAGCGATTTCAAGCAGTAAATGTCTGTGAAGTTCTTAGTAATCTTGAAGCCAAAGCCAAGAGTTCTGGACCCTTTGTCGACGACATACGATATATGGTGTGAGTATGTCAGCTTTGAGTCTAGAAAAACGCCTAAGTCTTTCACGCAATGCACCCATTCGATAGTCGTGCCTAGTATTTTGTAGTTGAACGTAATCGGTTGTTTCTTGCGTGGGAAAGTAATAACTGTACACTTAGCTGGGTTGACCACCAGTCGGTTTAGACTACACCAGTCAGCAAAGATGTCAATCTGATTTTGGAGAGAACGGTAGTCGGCGAGTGAGCGGATGCACAGAAAAACTTTCAGATCGTCTGCAAACGATAATCGTAACCCTGTGATAACATGGTGAACGTCGTCGAAGTAAAGGAGAAATACCAATAGTCCCAGATGGCTACCCTGAGGTATACCGGACTTTGCGCAGAAGCTTGCTGAGCGACAAGTACCCAAAATTACTGTCAATTGGCGCTCCGTGAGGTATGAACGAAACCATCTCAAAGATTTCCACCGATCCCTAGCCTATCGAGCTTAGCGATCGCAATTTTGTGGTTCAGCTTATCGAAGGCTTCCGTAAGATCTGTTTAGATAACGTCCGTTTGGGTCCGATCAATCAAACTGTCTGTGATGTAAGACGTTAGGCACAGCAGGTTCGTAGTTGTGGAACGCCCAGTTATGAATCTGTGTTGATCTATACTTAGATATTGATTGCAATGCGCATTTAGGGACTCTATGACAACCAATTCAAAACAGTTTTGATACAGCACTCAGCGACGTGATTCCCCGGTAGTTGTTTACGTCGCGTTTGCTTCCCTTTTTATGAACAGGAAGCATATCCGCAGTCTTCCAGCAAGACGGAAAGATGCCGCTGGAAAGAGAGAGCTGGAATATGCGGTGCAGTGGATCTAAAAGACAAGTGATGTTCTTTTTAAGAATCATCGACGGAACACCATCGGGTCCAGCCTTAGCTGAAGTCTTAAGTTTAGATGCTGCTCTAGACATCGTATCTGTAGTGGCTTCGACCATGCTGAGCGTTTGGTTGACCAAAGGAACATTACTGGCTGCGGAAGTAATGAGATTAGCGGAGAGTTGCTCGTCTTCAAACACACTAGCAAATTTGGCTGAGAACAGGTTGCAAATGTCTTGTTGATTGCTAGCAGTTTCACCATTAAAAATTATGGAAGAGGGTAAGCAGACTTCCCTGCGCTGCTCATTTACGAAGTTCCAGAAGGATTTCGGGTGTGATTTGATAGCGTTGAAAACAGAGACGACTTAACCGATAAACTTGTGGTTGAGTCTGACATAGTAGCATTTCAGCGGCAGTGTGCGGAGTTTAGTAAATCTTCTGAGAGCAGCTTTCTTAGTTCTTTTCAACGAGCGAAGATCGGGACGCGAGAGTCGATGTGGATGATCTTTTTGGATACGTGTCTGTCAATGATATATGCCAAGACGTGAGAAAAGGTTTGTGCAGCAATGTTGACCTCTACAGGATCTAGAATATGCCCCCAATCTAGGTTAGACAACACATGGACAATACTGCGATGGTCAGCTGGTGAAATCATGGACAATATTATTTTCGATCACGATAACTAAAGCAGGGTGATGATGCACTTCCTTGACTAAAGGTTCGGTTGCCGTGGAGAGGAAAGGAGCTGTATCACGAGCACTCACAAAGCAGAGATCCAGGGTGCGGTTGTTTTCATTCAACAGGCCATTGATTTGTGACAGAATTGCGGTACTATAACTGTCCAGGAGCTGGATGGTTCCTACGTGGAAAGATGGCGCTCGTGATCAGGACAAAAGAAACCACTAAGGGTTGGAGTCCATGCCATGACCGGTAAGCTAAAATCGCCAAGAACAATAACTTCGTCGGAAGGGCCTGCTTTGTCTGAAGCGACCAAGACGGATCGACAATGTGCGTCAATAAGCTCCAATTCACGGGTTCGATCTGGAGGGATGTACACTGCACAGAGAAGCAATTGACGATCACCAAGTTGAATAGCCACCCACACTTGTTCAACCATGTTCCAGGAATCGTCCTCGATAACTTCTGCTTTCAGCTTGGAATTAACTGCGATAAGGACGCCTCCTCCAGTAGTTTTCCTACTATTATTCGTGTTTCGACCGCAGCGAAATATTTCGTAGCCAGCAAAGACATAGTTTGAAATGGTTCGATAATTGAGCCATGTTTCGGTCAAAACTAAAATGTCGTAACAGTGATCCATGACGGCCAGATGATAATCTTCCACGAGGCCGTTCATACCGCCAACGTTCTGGTAGTAAATCGTTATGTCCGACCTCCGCTGTTCGGGAACAATGGAAGGTTCAGCGTGTAGTTGCATTTGGGAGCTGGCAGATGTCACTTGACGGAGGAAGGATGTTCGAGTAGGGTCCCTGGAAACCAAGATACTTTCAGGCGATAATATATTCGTCGGTTGATCATACTTGCCAATAACAGGAATGTGGAAGACACCTTCTCCCATCTCAAACGCAGGGCCGGGACGATTCCTGTCGCTGGTAGGAGGGGCTCGACTGCGATGAGTGGAATAGGGGCTTCCTCAGGGCAGACGGCAAGAATGCGTCCCGGAGTGCAGTTGACTATGATGGCTCCATGTTGCCGACTGGCAGATGTTTGAGGTGAGTTGAAGGCACTGGAATTATGATCATCATCAAGCAGTGAAAGTTCGCTATTAAGTGTGTACTTGCCTAATACAGCAAGCTGGGAGACCCACAATCCACATCTAAACTCAGGGCCAGGACGACTTGGATGAACGCTGGCTGCAACAGGCGCGACTGATTTAGAGAAACTGGGGACTCCCAAAATGCTTTCTGCGGTGCGTCCTGGTAGAGAAGTAATTTGGCTCAATGGATTTTCAGAGGGCGTCACCGAAAATTCGCTTTGGACCGGGTTCAGAATAACCTGAGTATGGGAGAACTCATCACGCAACGATAAACTTAAATCGCAGAGGTTCTTGCCTATGCAAGCATGGTGGAAGACCCCCTTTCCACCACCAACTACAGGGCCGAGACGGCTATGTTGAACGAAGGTGGCGGCAGGCGGGACTGTGTTGGGGCGATCGGGGGCTTCCTTCAGGCTTTCTACGGTGCGTCTCGGAGGCATTGTTGATTCATCAGATGAGGGGATTAAGGGGTGACTGTTATACTGGGTGTACCTAAAGGGGCTGGCATATCGAGAGGTGCTGGTGTCCCAAACGGTGTGCCCGTTGGAGAGCCACCCGGAATAGTCTCTGGAACAGCAGGGAGTGCTGGGATATCAGGAGGTAGGCATACATTGTTTTTCGCCTGAGTATCCTCGAATTCTCTGTACACAATCCCCTATGGCCAAGTTTCAGGGTTCAAAGCGTTCTCTTTTAGTTCCATTGGAACGCCGACCTTGTAGGAGATGAAGTTCATCGATAGTGGGTCGGTGCCTTTTTTCACTAAAGAGACGACTTTAACTGGCTCAGTCGTTCGCAGTCCATCACGAACAAGTTTCTCAACCACATCCCTCTTAACACTGGGATGAAACCGGGAAAGGTAAACTCAAAACAGATTTGATGGAGCATTGACAGCGAGTGTATCGCTAGTTCCAATGACTCTTGTTCCAGTAGTCGGTTTAGTCGGTGTTTCCGTATCACCTCGACGGCGTTTTGAGGGGCGATCTTGATTCGGTCTAGCAGATGTACTTGGGGTAGCAGCATTAACCATGTGAGTGAGTTGAGCGACCTGATTGTTGTTTTTGACCATTTCGGTTTACAGCTCGGATAAGCCGGTCAGCTGACTGCCTATCACCGTCGAAGTTACGTTGCCGAGGGATGAAACAGTGTTTCTATATCGGGCGTACTTCATCAACTTGCTACATTGAGCGGTGATGTAGTGGTAAGCGTGATTACCTCTCACCCCAGCAGGTCTGGGTTCAATCCCAGTCGGCGCCGCCGGGATGTTCTGAGGCATAACATCTCTGATCTCGCCTTCGGAAGGGAAGTAAAGCCGTTGGTCCCCGGTTCATGAGTTGATGGGTCGATAGGTAGGGTCCAGGTGTGGGATCTGCCTTCCTGGCGTCGGTAGCATTGGTGCTCAGCACGGAAAACAAGATCGACGGGAAACAAATCCAAGGAAAAAAAAAAATTTGCTACATTCGTCACACATCCACTACAAATTGATGTGGTCTTCGTCCTGTTTCACTGTTTTGGCACAGCGGTCGCACGCACTTGTACTGGTCATTTCGTTGAACGGAATTAATGCCCTATACGCGTGAAATTCCCAATAATCAGATTACTAAATCCAGATGTAGGTGGCGCGTCGAATGTTAGACGAGCGATCGAAAGGTGGTTTTTGCAACACCACTAGCACAACAAACAGAAAATTCTATGGATGACTGGCAATTTCACAACACCAAATATACGGTAAAACTAAATAAAGTCAACTGATTTCCATTTTTTGAAGTTATGGAACAATAAGATATTATGATCATATTTTTTAAGAATCACAATGAGCGATTTTCTGATCGCCTCTTCGCGAAGAGTGGGTGAGATAAATGTCAAAATCGCTTTTTGCGACTCTCATGTTGCACAATTGGCAGGTATTATGTTTCAAACACCAACTTCACAATCTTTTCTTGATGCATGCACAAACAAAATATTATCATAATATCTTATTTTTCCATGATTTCATAAACCAATTGTTTAGTCAAAATAAATGAAATGCACCCTGGTCGAGAGAATCCAAATAAAACCCAAATTGTTACTAGGACCGTAAGGGTTAATTTGTGACTTTATGGGCTAAATTTGAATTGGGATAACTTAAAAAAAGAATATGTCAACTTTGGATGTCTTATGGGATAAGTTTGAAGGCCTTGTGGTGAATCGCTGCGGAAACCTTATTTATGATTAATCTCATTATCACCTCGAAATTTCAAGAGCGCTAGAAAACTTGAAGTGATAGGGCATATCAGCCATCATGACGACCATTGTTGGACGCTTCAAGGAATCACCTTACGAGTGAACTCAAAAGAGCTTGCAGTTTATATCTGGAGTCCTTATAGTTCAACACCAGATGGCCTTGTGCTTTCATTAGAAGTCTTATCAATCAAGTGTTACAGGCTAATCCCAGAGGCTTTAATATTCAACTTTGGAGGGCCTTAAGCTTAGCTGCAACATCAACAAAACAAAACATGCTATAATCGTTCTGTTAATTCATCTTTATTTATTGTTGAAATAATCGTAAAATATATTTGAATCAATAATAAAATAATGTTAGTCGTAAAATGTGTGAGTCAACAAAATATTTGTGTTGAATGTATAATCTACTTCTCTGCGTGCATTTAATGATTCTTTTGATCATGAGCTGGTCTTTGATATTCCGTTGAAGTACAGCCCAAAATATCTATTTATTGGTATAAGTCAAGTTGTTCCACATTTATGCCAAATAATGACCATTATGCCTAACCAAATGGCATTATGCTAAACGGCTTTATGCCAAATGGGGAGAGTCATAATGACCCATTTATCCTAGTGATTAATTCTGCTCAATCGCAATTCTACGCTTGATTGAAATGTATATCGCACAATCGGGAAATTAGTAAAATACAGGGGGGTGAAATATGGGAATTTCAGTGTATTCTTGGTTTCCTTTTGGCTTAAATAAAGTATCATCACCTTCCCGTACCTATCGATAAATGTAATTCAACTGCCACAAACCTTACTCAAATACGCTTCTTTCCCCCTTCTCCCACCAACTTTCATTGCAGTCCTGTCGTTTTCCCAAGCTAGAAGAATGCGCCCACTTCCACTACGAGCGGGTCCAACTGGGCAAGCTGTCCATCCGGCTGGTAACGGACGAAAAGACCGACTCCCAACTGCAAGGACAAAGCGGCCAGTCGTCCCTGCTAGCCAGTACTGATCTGAGTAGTTCGCAAACCAGTAACGCTAACGGTATCACGGTGGGCGGTAGAAGTAATTGGTTCATTCTTCGCATTACGGCTGGCCGGTCGGATTCGTTCCTGATAAAGCGATCCTTCGAAAATATGCACTTTCTGGATGAGTTGCTGCACCGGTGCGTGTACGATCGACGGGTCAGTGAGTTGGAGGATCTGAAGGAGATGGACATTTCGGATAAAGGTGATGACGATCTGGAGACACTAGTCGCAGTTTACTTCAACAGGCTTTCGGTGATCGCCTCGGATGCAATGACCTGTGGACCGGTATTGACGTGGTTACAGATCGATAACAAAGGTAGACGACTGCCAGTAGCCGATGAGGAAACGATGAAAAGTATCAACACGCCGGCCGTCGGAGCTGCTTACGGTGTTCGGAGATATGTAGCACAGGCTTGCGACGAGATTTCCATTGAGGTTGGGGATATGATTTCGGTAATCGATATGCCGAGTCCGGCGGAATCGATCTGGTGGCGAGGTAAAAAAAGTCACTTGCAGAAGAACCAGTACGAGGTGGGATTCTTCCCGCAGAGCTGTGTGGCTACGATCGGAGATAAAGTTCCACGGCATATGCCTTTCCCGGCTCCGCTGGTAGGTTCCTTGGCTGTGTCGCCAACCAAACCGGTTCTCCGGAAACACGGTAAACTGATAGCTTTCTTCCGGAGCTTTATCCTATCGCGGCCTTCCCGTCGACGACTGAAACAGAGTGGAATCTACAAAGAACGAGTGTTTTCCTGTGACCTAGGCGAGCACCTGCTCAACAGTGGACAAGACATTCCAATGGTTCTGAAATGTTGTGCTGAGTTCATCGAAGAGTACGGAATTGTGGATGGCATTTACCGATTGTCGGGTATTACCTCCAACATACAGAAGCTAAGACGTGCCTTCGACGAAGAGCGGATCCCGGACCTGACACATCCGGAGATCAAACAGGACATCCATGCCGTGAGTTCCTTATTGAAGATGTACTTCCGTGAACTGCCAAATCCGCTTTGTACGTACCAGTTGTACGATCACTTTGTGGAAGCCATTCAGACTCGTCTGGACGCACCGACCGATCTCAAACTTCGCTTAATTCGACAGACGGTTCAGAAACTGCCACCGCCGCATTACCGAACGTTGAAGTACCTAGCAACGCATCTGTTGAAAATTTCCCGTCATTCATCCAGCACCGGCATGACTGAACGGAACATTGCCATCGTATGGGCACCGAATCTATTGCGTTCACCGGCTCTTGAATCAGGAGGTGTCGCAGCGCTTCGAGGCGTAGGAGTACAGGCCGTGGTGACCGAATATCTGATTAGCAACTGCGAGCAGATCTTCGACGACAGCGGAGATGATTTCGGCAGCCATTACATTGAATCGCAACCGACGTCGCTAAGTGATTCCAACAGCATACAGATTTCGGGCGGTTTGGATCAGGATCTGTCACTGTCAATTGAGCGGCCGAAAAGTCTAAGCGTGGGAGGTGCCAAATTGTTGACCTTGGAAGAAGCACGTATCCGTCGGAATTGTATGGAGAATTCCGAGAAGACTATTCCGATCAACATTACCAATCAGTCGGCGCATATCGGTTCATATATCGAGGTGGGTGGTGGACCGTCTAGTTTGCCGGATAAGTACCACACGGTGCTGCCGGTACCAAGGTAAGATTCAGTTCGTTTGGGCTACTTGCGAGATGACTAATCTAAATTTTCGTTATCACCTAGAAGCTGGAATAAGCGAAAATCGCACTCATCGTGGAAGTCCATCTTTACGCGGCAGCCTCGGCAGTCGAACAGCAATCAGGACATCAAAGAGTACAGCAATCCCAGTACACCGACTGCCAAGGAACCCCCGGTGATTATCACCAATGGGCGGCCACTGAATGAGGAGCGACCTGCAAAGCCTGACCAGAATGGTACCATTAAGGAGAGTAGCAGCGCTCTAGTACAAGACAAGGTGGCAAAGAGTAAGTTGATTGAATTTTTGCAATGTGATTATCCGGAATGGAATTGTGTTTGATCCTTTTTTAGCGGGTGTGGATCTGTTTGATGGAAAGTCGCTAACCATAGATTCGTGTGCTCGGTCCAACTCGGTTGATAGCCTGCGGACGACCGGGCACAGTCGATCGGTGTCGCATGATTCGTACTTTGATTTGCTGCAGTCACCCCTTCGAGGTGGTGTGGTGACCTGTCCGAGCCGGGAGCTATCCGAGCTGGGGTTGAACTTTGATCGAGAGGAACCGGAGATGAGGATTTTCTCCGAGAGCGAAAGCTTGGTCAGTAGTCCCAAGGTGGCGAAGGAGGTGAGTTTTTCGGTCGATACGTTGGGTACGATATATTTGTATTATTTTTTACTTATTTCCATAGTCCATTCGGCGTACACTGCGGGCCCGCCCAGAAGAGTACACCAGTGGAGGCAACAGTGTAAATCCTAGTCCCAAAAAGCAGCCGCGGTTGAATATTCAGAGTCCTTCGGATGCCCACAAACCACAATGGATGGTAGCGTCCGCCGCTACAGGTTCTCTGAATCCTGACGAAAGTCTCTGCAAGCGCTACAAGCTGGAAGATCAACTAAACGATATCCAGTTTATCGATTGCAACACGCCGGAACACAATGTGTCCGGTGGAGGATCTTCGCTGAACAGCAACACCATCTTCACCAGTGCTCAGGTTCACAAACCTCCACTGCAGGAGGACTCCGATGACGAGAATGAACTGATTGGAATTAGGAATTCCTATCCGGGGCCGCAGTATAGTTACGTGAAGTACGATTCTCCCATCAAGGAGACCCGGTTCAGCTACCCGGGAATGAGTGCCAAAAATAAGGAATGCAACCATGCTCTTAAAGAGCAGGAAATGAGTGTAGACGATCAACAGCATACCCATCTGCAGAAGAACGGATCATCGCTGTATGAGAGGTACTTGATTGAGAAATCGATTGCTCATTAGAGTTAGAGCTTAGAGTTTCCTTTTCGGTGGAAAAAATCTTATGATTCACAAATTTCTTTCCTCAAAAAATTAGATCAGCCTTTCCCATCGTCATGCATGAGGCTTCCCGCCCGCCTTTGTTCCATTTTCGTCTGTCTAAATTCATCCTCCAATTGGCAAGTGAGCAGTTGAAGAAGTGATCACGTCGTGCTGCTTCTTCAATTGGCCACAACCCAACAAGCTCCGTTCGTTCTTTTATCTCTTGTTCATATCTTCCCCTATCTCCCATCACAGTTTCATTCTGTCCAGCCAGGCATCTTCAAAGCCGCCAAAGTATCCTGGTCGTTATAGCTACTACCAGGCGAGCAGTGGGGCAACGGAAGCTGGTAACGACGAGGGAAGAGACGATGAGCTGCAGGTCGTCCCGAGAAGCTGTTCCGAGAATGTGATAAGGAAGAGTGACACCCAGAAAAGTAAGTTGAGTGTGATGACTCCGCAGTCACCGGTTCAGAGTCCTTGCTATTCGTTGCTGGTGGGCTCGACGACGAGTTCGGATAATAGCAGCAATATGAACACTCCGGTGTACGATATGGACGTAGTGGCCGCGATCGGTCAGCATCAGCAACAACAGCAGCAGCAACAGCCATTAGAGAAAACCAAAGAAGAAACGGAGCTGAGAGATATAAAGGCATTGAAGCGTGAATTGTCGCTGGATTTGAGTGAAGTTGGTGTGAAAGTCGCTTCCGGAAAACAGTTGACCACGAAGAAAAACTCCTCCCCGAATACTCCCTCAAATTTTGCGTCGGATAATACGACTAACACGACTACCACCAGTCAATCGATGACACCGAGCGAGTTTTGCTATCACAATCTTAATCCGGAACTGTCCCCCGGTGAGCTAGCAACGTTCGCACAAAAAGTAGCTCCGGCTAACAAACCGGGAACGCCAATCAAGGCGACCATCAACATTACGTATAACGTAAGATCTCCGGTCCGGAAAGAGCAGGAAGAAAGTATCTTCCGATCGTCGCCAGTGAATTCTGGCGGCTCGATTACTCCGATCTCTCCGAAAAAGATGGAACAAGAGGACGAACACCAGAAACCGTCGGAAGCGGATTTGCTAGAGGAGGAAGAGTATCTTCGGGAGAGGAGGAGTATTTACGAAAACGTTTTGGTGACTCCAATTGAGTCGCAGACAGCGAAGGACACCAAGAGGCTGTTGGAGACTAATTTTGACGAAACGATGGTCTACGAACAGGTTAAATTCTACAAGAATGCCGTATTGCAGGTGAATGAATTGCTGGGTGGGGAAGGAGAAAGAACCCATAATGATCTGGCCGACGAAGAGCTGGCATCCTCCAAATTGGTGGATCTCTCGATCAGCGAAGACGAAGCGAAAGTACCTGAATTAGACTCGTTAGGCCAAAAATCAAAAGTCAAGCTGAAAATCAAAGAGGATGAAGATGACGAAGAGGACGAGGATGAGAACACCGACGGAATTAACAACAACAAACGAGACTCGAGGATAGGAACGGATTCTTCACATTCGGAGATCAAAGAGAAGCCGGATTTCGCTATGACCAGCAAGAGTGAAGAAGAAAGCGATGACGTTCCGATGTCCGATGTCAACGATGATAGTTTGGAGTTTGACAATACGGATGTATCTTTGTATGAAAATGTAGAGCTCCGCAAGAAACCGTTTGCTCCGGTGTATGAAAACATGATTCCCGGTCCAATTGGAACGGCAACTTCGACGCTCAAGTCACTTCAGACTACGGACGATGAATTCTCGTCTCTTTGTGCCGACCGTAGCGATCTGGACAACGAAATGGAATATCGGATCGAAATTCCCCCTAAGATCGAGCTCAAACCTACTACTAACAATATCAGCGTCAAACAGCTAGCCACCAAGTTCGAAACTAGTCCTGTCGATGTAAACCCGCCATTCGACTTCCATCACCAGTCCAAACTGAATAACAATCGAGGAAGTGCTGGTCCCGTCGTAACGATCCGCAACAAATCCGCAAAAGATTATCAAAATCTCACCAACATCACTCGCAGTCTGGACGAGAATGCATTCGTCCGGGAGTTTGGCAGCGCTCGCAAACTGGAAAGCTTCAACAAGAGCATCCAGCAGATCCCCGAAATCGACAACATCCTCAACGAGAACAACCCGAACCGACGCAAGTCGTTGGATTTCACCAGACCAAAGAGCCTAAATCCTCCGAAGAAACTACCCTCGCTGGTCGGGAAAGGCATCGAGAATTTTGAGGATGCAACCAACACGTCCCACGATTGCTGCCGACAGCAGCATCTTCACCATCACCACCACCACCATCACCACAACCAACAGCAAAAAACTTCCCCACCGTCGGATCTCAAGCTGGATCTTTCGACCAAGATCGAAGACACCAAAGAAGCCCGAGCGTACAACGTGCGGATCACACCTACCACCGAGAACCGAATCTCTCTCGTCCAGTACAACTACGATAACCGACTGAACCGGAAAGATAACCAGCTACTACAACAACAACAGCAGCAGCAACAACAGGAGGAGGACCGTAACAGTATAACGAGCATTTCCAGCCTAAAAATGCTCGGAAGCTGCAAGCTGGACCGCAGTCGGATCGAGAAAATCAAAGAAGAACGTCGCCACCAGCTGAGCGAAAAGTATCGCTCGGAATCGTTCAAAGGTGAACGGAGCGATTACAGTAAGCTAAAATCAAAATCTAAATCGGAACTGCGAGACTTCAAAGATTCGGACACGATCGATCCAGGCAAAAAGTACGACTCCCTACGCTTCCGCTCGAAATCCCGCATCGAACTGTCCGACCAACCGTACAACCTGGCCCACAACCTTTCATCGGCGGTTTCCCTAAACACTGTAGCCACTCCTCTGATGGTCGTGGGTGGTCGAACGCGTCGGATAAGTGACGAAAAGAACCAGAACGATTGTATCGCTTCTTGCTCCCCGCCCCGAATGACGACGGCCGCCAGTAATACTACTGGAGGCGGTAGCAACATTCCACCGGATGCCAGCATATCGCAGGTTTGTGATAGTAAATTTGAGTTGAAAACTCGACAGAAGTTTGACAAGCGGGGAAGCACCAGCAGTGTGACGGATTATCCTGTGACCACGACGACGACGACAACGGCGTCCGGTGCCACAGTGATTGGGCTACGGGAACGGGACAGCTTCAACGGCGTAACGGCCAAAAGTTTTGCGCGGAATGGTTCCAGCGGAGCACAGTGAGTATTGTTTTTCTCCGTACATGTTTGTAACCCTTTGGTAGAGTAGTTTGATGGTAGCACTCCCTGAAACCCTTTTGTGATAGTAGTAGTAATAGCACCAAACAGGTACCTACTTAAGATATGAGCACATTTAATAAGACTTCACAACTTATTTTTGATCTAAGCTACGCCAATCACACACATACACGCTTTTGTATTGGTACATTGCTTGATTTATGCACATTTAGTAAAAATAACGGCTGCACTGAATTTGGTTCCAATATTTTTTTTCGAATGCTGATTTAGAAACTTTTAAGTGCTCGATTTTTGCTTTCTTTATTGACAGAACTCAAGAGAAATTAGTGGAAGGCAAATGCTCGCGACAGCTTTCAGAAATGGTATGGGAGTGAGATTCTCGGAATTCTCTTAATTTTTTGTTAAGCCCCAGAACTTCTAGAATGTGAATGAATGTTAAAATAATTTGAATATAGAATATCTATTGATAGCCACCATCATTTACAATTCTAGTTTCATGAACTCCGGCTTTTGAGAATTTCGAAACATAACCAAAGGTCCCCAAAAGTTACTATTGTTTCGAGTGCTATTTTCTGAAGTACTGCATATTTCCGCTACATGTAGCCCGTCTGCATTAGAAAGATTCTTTAGTTTTGGAAGTATTCTTGCTGATTCGAGAGTTATTGAAGCTCCTAAAGCTAAATCTGGTGATCGAAGAATTCTGAAAATTTCCAGAGTTAGTAATATTTCCGGTGTCCAGATAGTTTTTCTAAATTTTGGCACATTTCAATTCTAAGAGTTCCTGCAGGTTAGATTTTTTTAAAGTTATTCCTTGCAGGTCTGGGAATTCTAGGACCATCGGGTTTTCATAGAGTTCCGAGTGATTATACTACCCATAATCGCATATCAGTCCCATCTTTGCTTGATTTCCTATCCATATGGGACTGATATGCGATTATGGGCAGTATATGTTTCTTAATCTGCCCATAAATGCATTAGTGGCTCATATGAATAGAACATTAAGCTGATATGGGACAGTTATGTGTTTATAGGCTGTAAAATCCCGATAATTCCAAGAACACGAAAGCTTTAAAACCTCTTGGAACAGTAGTAGTTGGATCTCTAGCACTTCTAACATTTTTGGAACTTAAATAACTGCCAAAACTATGAGAACTCTCGAAACTCAAAGAACTTTGGGAAAGTTCGGTACATTTGGAGCTTCTAAACCTACCAGATAACTTCTGGATCTTTAGCTCCCAGACCATTAAGAACCGCAAGAAATCTCAGAACTCCAGGAACTTGAAACTTCAGTAATCTCCCCTGAGAACGTCAAAAAATTCCGTTACTTTAATAACTTTGAAAATGTTCAGCAACTCTCAGAAGTCCAGTTTTTTTTTTAGCTAGGGCGAGCTTTAGAAATTTTGTAAAATCCAATAAATGTTGATACTCTCCACCTGCAAGATCTGTACTGCCGTTATACGCATAACTGTCCCATGTTCTCTGCAATCCTTATGCACCGTGGGACTCTTATGCTTATAACGGCAGTGTAGAACTCCCAGAACAGTAGGAACTGTAAGAACTTAGAGATATAGAATCTTTTTGAGACCAAAGCCCCTAGAACTCCAGTGATCTGGGAACTTTCATAACATTCTTTGTTTTTGTCTATAGTTGTTTATTGAAGAATTCAACTGACAATTATTATCTAAATGAATAAAACTTAAACTAAATAGTTACGGTCAACGGTACGGAAAAGGCCAAGTGTTGTGTATAATTCCGGCTCCGTGGTTCCAAAAACAGAAAGTCGCGTTGACGAAGAGATCTCTCAGAGGCATACATATTTAGCTGTGACAGCAGTGTTGGACAGTCAATGTCACCCGTAAGTAGCTTTCCAACGAACATAGCTTGAGCGACCGTCCGTCTCACCACTAATGGCTCGATTCCCCAGGAGACGGCAACGCTCCTCGTACGGTGGCAGTGGCAAGTTCGTTGGGTCACGCCAGTTGAGGAAACGAAGAGTATATCTCACAAACTTGCGTTGACCGGATTCAATTCTAGTGATCCAGCTAGCATGGAAAGGGCACCAAACAACTGAACTTGACTCCAATAAGGATCGCACAAGCGAGCAGTAAAGTGACCTGAGGCATAGCGGGTCACGAAACTCGTCGGCAATTTTGAAAATAAAGCCCAATTGTCGATTAGCTCTGGAGATGATGTCATTGTAGTGGATTCTGAAAGTGAGTCTGCAGTCCAAGGTAACGCCGAGATCCTTTATGTGCTCAACACGAGCAAGACAGCGTCCGTAGAGAACATAGGCAAACATGATTGGTTCGATTTTTCGGTGATAGGAAATAATGTTACATTTTTCTATGTTTAGACTCTTAAAATTTCTTGAGCACCAGTCAGCAAAAATACCTAACATATTCTGGAGATCACAGCAGTCCGAGAGGCTTTTAATAATTTTGTAGATTTTCGTATCGTACGGCATCCTGATGGTATCAGCAAGGCGACGTCGTTTAAAAAGATCGAAAATAGTAGCGGTCCAAGGTTACTGCCTTGCGGAACTCCCGAGTTGTTTGAGAAAACATCCGATTCTGACGCGCCAATCTTGACATGTACATAGCGATTCACCAAGTTAGATCTGAACCAATCCACAGCAGTTGACGAGATGCCAAGTATCTCCAGCTTGGCCAGCATGATATTATGGTCCACCGTGTCAAATGCAGCTTTTAGATCCATATACGCAGTATCGACTTGCCATCCTGAATCCATGCATCGCAGACAGTAAGAAGTGAACTGCACCAGGTTCGTGGACACGGAGCGCTTCGGGTAGAAACCGTGTTGTTCTGTATCGATATAATTTTTACATCGTGCGAACAGAGCACCATTTATGATAATCTCGAACAGTTATCGAGGTGATTCCACGATAATTTATGACATTCCGTTTATCTCCTTTTTTGTACACTGGGAACAGATAAGAAAGTTTCCAGTGGCAGGGGAACTCACATTGCTGTGCCGAGAGATTGAATAGCCTCGGAAGTGGAAGGCAGAGATTGGCTAACGAAACTAAACACATCACGTGGCATCCCAACAGTAGCGTCCAGCACTTGTGTTGGCGAAGCGGAGAAATCGTGGAACACTTGCTTGAAATGACCAGCAAACAAGTCGCATTTTTCTCTTTCGCTATTAGCCGATTCATTCCCGAGAAACATGGAACAAGGCAACCCGGATTCCTTCCGTTTGGAGTTGACAAACGACCAAAAACTTTTCGGATTCGTACGAAGGTTCGCTCCCGTGCGTCTCACGTGTCGATTATAGAGAAAACGATTGTTATTTGGATAACTACGACTCGCAAAATTGAACAGTCGTTTGTAGTACGGCGAGCGAGAGTTACAATACTTTCGGGGGGCGGCAGAGTGTTGACGTTTTAGCACGCGTAGGCGTGGGTTAGACCATGCAGGCTTTAGCGGAGGTCGTTGAGCTGCATCTTTCACGCTAGCGGCTGTTTCGATAAATTGCCAATCAATTTCCGCAAGCGCATTGTTCAATGCAACGTAATCGGCCCGGCGAAAGTCCAAAGAGTAGGTCTCAGATGAAGGCGTAAAAAGAATCGGCGTAGGTAAACTAAATGACACGACGAGAGCGGGATGATCGGCATCTAGATCAATCAGTGGCTCGACCGGCAAGGAAACAGAAGTGCCCGGTAGTGCGGAATCATTTGCCAGGACAAGATCTAGCAAACGTCTATTTCGGTTCGGAAAAGTATTCACTTGTGTGAACCCGTAAAAGTAAAAACCGTCCAAAAGAGCACAGCAAGCAACCGGCATATGCGAAAGCAGTGGATCAATTAATGGTGTGCCACTGTCTGTAAAGCGCCACTGCAGACCAGCTTGATTGTATTCACCAAATACGAAAGCGGGAGAGCAGGGACTTAATTGTGACGAAATTGAGCCTAACGATTCCACATGCTCACGGATGATCGTGTAGCCGTTTTTGCGGTCGGGAGGCAGGTAGATTGCGCCTACACTAAGCTTGCTTTGTGGAAGTTCTACGACCATCTACAGCTGTTCCAGTTGACTGGAAATGGGTGACTTACTTACGTAGCTGGCTAGTCTCATAGATACTGCAATCAGGACTCCGCCATTGCGCGATTTTTGACTTTTTAGGGCAGACCGGTCAGTTCTGAAGACGGAATAGAGTGACCCGATGAGTAAATTCGGTCGTCCAGCCACGTTTCCGTCAGCACAATCAAATCATATTCGGCCTCCGCAACAGCCAGGAAAAACGAGTCGATTTTAGTCCTCAGCCCACGCACGTTTTGGTAGTAGATCCGGAGACCATTCGAGAAGCAATCACGGGAACTAGAAATCAAAAGAACATCAAGTACCAAAAGCTCGGAATCGCTAGCATACTTGCCTGAGGTTGCAGGCCGGAAGCCCCCGATACCATCACCGACCACAGGACCGGGACGATGATGATGGCGGATGTCTGCAGCAAGCGCGACTGGGTCGGGAGGTTCGGAAGCTTCCTCAGTGCCTGTTTTAGGGTGTCCCGGATCCGAGGAAGAGCAGGTGGCGGCATAAACCTGCTGGCAGTTGGCAGGACGGATGCATGGACATGATGTGGCTAGTGTGGAGGTCGCAGAACCGGAAGCACAGCTAGAAGTTAAAGCGGTATCAGGCAAAGGAGAGGCTGAATCGTCAATATAATTGTCAGTAATAGCTGGTTGGAAGACCCCCGATCTACATCTACACTCAGGGCCGAGACGACTATGCAGAGCGCTGGCTGGAATAAGCGCGACTGAGGCGGAGAAATCAGGGGCTTCCACAGTGCTATCCACGATGCGTCTCGGTGGTGGTCCAGAAGCAGTAGAGGTAGCAGCATTATTCTTGGAACATCGTGGGGATGCAGATGGACCATTTGGGGATAACGAAGACGCATTAATCGTTCTCGATGGCCATTGCCTCCAACCCTACATTTTACAATTGCTACAAGGACTCCTCCACCAGTAGATTTACTGGAAATCACAGATACATCAGGCAATAACTGACCATCATCGAGTCTGATTGAAAGACCCCCTCTCCACATCCGACAGCAGGTCCGGAACGACTATGGCGAACGAAGGCTGCTGATGGCAGGACTGAGGCGGAGGGATTGGGGACTTCCAATAGGCTTTCTACGGTGCGTTCCGGGTTCCCAGGATTGGGTGTTACAGAGGCATCATCACAATGACTAACATAGTCCGAATTGCTGAAAATTTGATCGGCACCAGGCAGTGAATTGTCAATATATTGATTGTGCTTACCTGTAGAAGCAAGCTGGAAGACTCCTGATCCATATCTAGCCACAGGGCCAGGACGACTGAGTGCTGGCAGGAATAGGCACGACTGGACTTCTAAAAGGCGGTATCGAAACTCCGGCACCCTGATGACGTACAGCATCTATCAGAACTCCAAGAAATTTCGTTACTCAATAGGGTGGTCCTCAAATTAACTGATATTTTAAAACAAACATTCTTCTTTTGAAAAAGGAGACGTTTTTTTTTTTTAATTTATTATGGAGATTTTTAGCCAACTGACTAATTTATCTCCGAAAATGGAAACGTATGTTTCTCAGCAAAAATGTAGCTTTGTCAATAATAAGCAAAACCACTGGTGCTGTTGAGTACTTGGCACTGATGAAGTCTGCAAGTAGTAGACGAAATACGCATATCTGTTAAAAGATAAGCAATTATAACGGAATTTAAAGGAAATAAACCAACACACTCAAAGCTCTTCATAAAGGGATTCCGTTAAGAGGTTCGACAAATTAAAAGGATTGAATTTCACTCATATTTGAGTCCCGTTCAAAAGTGTATAGGTCACTCATATATGAGTGACATTTAATCATATTTGAGTATAAATTTACTCTTTCCATGAGTGACCTACACTGAAAACGAAGTAACGCAGAGACTAAGCCTAGACTAACATTTGAAAAGGGCGTGATTCCAAAATTACCATATCGAGAAAATCGCTTTCGAATTTGGATGGCCTAAGAATCAATTCTATTTCACGACTTTCCATTTTATGGATGATTTTATAAGCTTGACATATAGTTAATAGTGTAATCTATGATCATGCATCACTAAAAACTAAAAAAAAAAGTTTTTTTTTGTCGTGAAATTGAGAAGAAAACATCATTTACCCTGATAATTTCTTGCATGTTGTTACCGCCCGAATCTTCCACCCTTTGAACTGCCAACACTCGTGATACGCCGTGGAAGTACACCCTCGGGATTTTTTGCTTGTTGTGCCGCCTTGGTTCTTCGTTCGCAAATTTTGTGAGAGTGGAAATATGCCCGGAGATTTTTTTTTTGGTCTTCTTTTTGTTCGTTGTTTACACGTGAAATATCAAACGGATGCATTTCAAATTAATCGGGCGTGACTAGATACTACAGAATCAGTACGTTTGGCATATTAAAACAATATAATTCGCAGTTCTGATGCAAGGCGTAACAACCAGATGTATCATAGAGTTGAAAGTTGGAAATACGCCATGTAAGAAGAAACGTTTTTGATGATTTGAAGTGATATTTTCTTCTACTTTTTCGTGTTTATCGAGTAGTTTGTGAACTGTTCTCTCTATATGTGGCAAAATATGGTTTGTTTACATTTAGGCTCTTCCGCCCCTTTCAAATGTTAGTCTAGAAGTCATATTTACTCATTCGCATGGACTACTCTGAAAGACCTATACGCTTCTAGATATTTTTCTTCATACGAATGATTAACAGTTATTCGTAACTGAGTAAAAGTGACTCACTCTCTCTGCTAGTTTCGTTTTCAGTGTACGTTTTTGCTAATTTGAGTGAACGGGACTCAAATATGAGGTACACTCTTAAAATTTTTCGCCGAGATTCCAACAGCCGAGTAGTTCTGCAATTTATTTTGCTGAGATTCAGTAAAACAATTGCCGAGACTCAGCTAACAAATAACATTTTGCTGAGATATCAGCTAACAAACAGATATTTTTCAGAGATATCAGCAAAAGTAAATGCCGAGGTAATCGGCTGCTGGAGATTTTACCGAGCTAGATTAAGTGTGAGATTCATTTGCCATGTACGTTTTTGCGATTTTGTGTGAAAAACCACTTAATTTTCAGTCGATCTCATCGGCCGTGCAGTCTATTAGCTCATCATAGACTGAGTAAAATTTACGTCGATTTTTCTCAAATTCAAGAAGTTTTTTTCCTAGAAAATCAAGGAGCCAATCTGAGCCAATCCACTTTTTGCTAAAATGAGTCGAATTCAACTCATTTTTGAGTTGATCACATGATCCGTGTATTCTACTCAACTGCGCAAGTATGTGATCTTGCATGCAACGTCGCGTACAAGTTCAACATAAACGGCCGATGAAATCAACTCTAAATTGAGTGGTTTTTTCACTCAAAATCGCAAAAACGTGGGTTACTACGTAGCATAATTGCCCTCGCTTTTCCTCAAAAATTTGCTCGAATGAGGGAATATCGACAAAAATTTTACTCAGTCTAGGAGTATACTAATAGACTGAGTGAAACTTCTCTCGATTTTCCTCACATTCGAAAACTTTTTCTTGGAAAGTTGAGGAAAATTTTACTCAGTCTAGTGCATAACCTACGTTTTTGCGAATTTGAGTGAACGAAACTGAAATTTGAGTTGGTTTAATCAGTCGTACATATAAAGGTGCTTTTAGTACAACAGCTACCCAGCGGGTGTGTTTTCGTCGGTGATAGCCTGAACTGCTTTATCGATTTTTGGACGTTATGCTAAAAATAAAACCATTCTATTTTAGAATAAGGTGACAAACCGTATGCTGGTCTAACATAACAATGTCATATTTAAAATTGGATCAAAACTACCTTATTTACAGCCTAATTAATATTTGCGATTTCCGATGACGGGTAGTAATTAATTAGAAGCTTGAAACATTGAATCGCATCTGCTTATAAAAATAATCTACTACCATTTGACTTGACCTTCGCTAATGCAATCTATACATTTGCTGCATTTTTTTTTTAATCTTTTCCAGACGAGATCGATTTTCTCCGCAAATTTCCATCAAGGACGTCGCAGCCATGTTCGAGTCACGGTCGCAAAATCAATCGTAATGAGGAGGACGTCCCATGCCGCCGCTACCTGGGCCATACAAAATTGTTTTGTGAAAATAAATCTTCGTCCCCGTGTTTCTACCTGCCGACCAACACACTAAGAGCTGCGAAATAAAAATAACCGCTGTTTTGTTTTTAATTGGTAAAACTGAAAACTCTATGAGAAAAGAATCAAACTTGTTCGCAAACAGAAGAAAGCAAAAGCATCTTGATATTACTATCTCTTACTGCACCTGCGCATACAGCTACTTTTGAACTGACTATCCTTGTTGAATAAAAAGAGAATAAAGAAACGTAGTTTAAAAAGCAACTTACATAAAACGTACACAAAGTAGTAGAATCTTTATTTATATACATAAACTTATCATGTAGTGAGCAATCGTCTCTGAAAATTAGAAACTATGAAACCATATTTCAATAATTACACTTTGATGAAAAAGATGCTCAACAAGAGCAAGCAACAAGCAAACAAATAAACAGAAAAAAAAGAACCAGCTTACGATATTTGTGAAACAATATGCTTCAACTTAACGAAGGAGGTGGAAGAAAACATTGCATTTGGGCAACAACTTTTTGCACCATTTTACATACATTTTCTAGTTATTTTTTTTTTTCATTTTTCGTACGAACCAACAGCAAGTCGCCAACTAACTAAATTGATAGAGGAAAGTTGATAGATTATTCCTATACGCTACTACACAATTTGGAAAGAGTAACGAGTGTAAAGAGTGAATGGGCATGAAATTTGTAAAATATACGTTATTTTCACTTTGCTCCTGACGGATAAGTTCAGTTATAGGATAATTTTTCCAAAAATAGAATGACGAAAATTAATCTTCTTTTGTATATAAATCCAAAAATTACATCACAAACATCTAGATAGGGACTGTAAGTTGCATCCGTTTTCCGTTAATTGAGAACAGTTTTCATTCGTTTGAAAAACGAATTTGATTATTTTTTAGGTTGCTTGTTTCGTTTTGAATAAATTTGTTTTGTTTTACTCTCTCGAATGGAGTACCGAACGACGTGGAGATTGATTGGAAATGGACTTTTATAGCAGAATTTTGGAGGCAAATTTACAGCGAGCAGATTTCAAACCGAATCAGAGGTTAACTAAACTACAACATTATGTAAAACGGAACGAGGTTGTTGAAATTTAAACCACGCAAAAATTAAACATAACCGATTCAGACAATAATTTTTCCATAAATCAGTGACAAACTTTTATCTCAATAACTTTCCGCTCTACAGTTTTCTCGCATCAATCTGAAATTTGCTACCGCAAGCGGCAGACAAGAGAACCGATTTATTAAAATCGTAATGATTTCCACACTCTTAGGTATTTTGTCTTTTCTGTAAATATTAAAAAAAAAACACGTTTTCAATGAAAAATAATAAACCTTCGGACTTTTGATTCTCTGTAAATATATTAATTATACAAGTAATTAATATACATATAGGATAGTGCATAACGTCACATGAAACTGATATGCTTTGTATTAACCGGTGGAAAGCGCAGAACACTGAACAACAACAAACCACTAATCACAAACCGACACGTCAAAACTTATGTAAAACACTACTAATTCTACTTGAACCTTGATATTAAAACTTGCTCTAGTATTTGGATATTGAAAGTAATGCAAGAAATTGAGCGCAACTTTTACTAATTATAATCCGATCTTCGAATGAACAAACAAATTTAAAAAAAAGAACAAGAAGGAAACAGACTTACAAGAATATACTTTTTCTTCAAACACGTTAAATACCAATAAGACTCGGTCTACTTTATCGACACGATCCGAACGTTCCTTTAACTTTAATTATTTTATTCCATTTATTACTGATGATCGGTAAAACAGAACACTCCGCTGTTGTGATATGCGTTGTTCCACTCCACTATCGGTGCTATTTTTGGGTTTTAGTACAAATTGCTTGTGCTCGAGCGCTTGCGCTTCATGCACTAACACACATGGGGATTTTGATGCGCATGCGCCTTTGTGTATGGAGGATGTGTTTTACGATATTTTTAGACTGGCCACAGAATGTCTATTCCCGTAATTGCTTTTTTCTTTTGCTGTGGGTTGCTGCAGCTTTCTATAAGAAAATAATATGGTGCAGCAAGTATGGGACATGCTTCTGCTTTTTGCTGTACTGAATCTGACAGAAAATCAAGTACGGGAACAGTCCTATAAATATGTGCGTACAGCATAGGGTGTAACATTACTTCGTTTTTAGGACCCATTTTGACTGTGACTGAGTAAATTTGTGTTGCTCTTTTTTCTCACTGTTTTCATACAAACAGTCTGAGAGATACATCAAAACGCATCGAGTTGTATTAAATCGACAAAGTAGAATTAAACCTTAGTGTATTCACTAATGAGATACTAACTGACGACCATATTAACCTGGCTGCCAGGAACGTTCCAGTAAATGATCAAACGCTGGGTGCAATTGATGTTAATGCTGAGATGATTTCTAAGGCCGCGACTCTGTTCAAGTCATCCTTCAATCCTGGACCTGATGGAGCTCCATCTGTATTTTTGAAGAGACATATTGCTACCTCGTTAATTCCGCTTCATCGCCTGTTCCGAATGTCTCTCTCCAGTGGCATATTTGCATCTTGCTGGAAGGAAGGAAACGAGCTGTGGATAACTATCAAGGAATTAAGTCGTTAAGTGCCGTTTCGAAGCTATTCGAGCTAGTGATTATGGAACCGTCACCCGCTCTACAACCACCAATCTGCTGTGTCTCACATCGTATATAACCGAAAGCACGTCGGATCGGGTTCAAAATGATTCTCTGCTTGAACGTCAAGCAGTTCAGTTCGGTCTTTGCTCGCTTTGTCGAGTTGTTCGATAAATCTATAGTTTGTTACAAACGTTCGCAGATATACTGCACGTCGCGTCGTCAGTAGTGTCGGTCGCATCGCGTGATGGGAAGACAGCGCTCTCGGAGCCGACTTCGTGACCAAGCGGAGAAGAAGAACAGTGGTGAGGGTAGCTCGGTACCTACCTCAAATAGGTACGCTACTCTGCCCACCGATGTTGGAAATACCAACCCAGTCCCGGTGAAGCGGACGAAAAAGAGGAAGAAGAACCAAGGACAGTCCGATGGTACGAGCGGACGCGACGATGTTACCGCGACGAACGCCAGTGACATCGGTGATTTCGGCGACGCCGTCGAAACCGAGAATTCTGCCGGCCCGAGTGCAGCGAAAGTCAAGCTTCCTCCACTGGTGGTGAAGGTAGTGCCACTCAAGACGCTCATTGGCGATTTCGCATTGCTGGGCATCGCAGCTGAGTACAAGATCAGCAGGATCGGCACTAAGGTGATGCTCCGGACGAAAGCGGAATACGAAATCGCAGTCAAATTCCTGAAGGATTCCAATGCGGAATACTTCACGCACGACATCCCCGATGAAAAGCCCTTCAAGGTAGTCATCAGGGGTCTACCGGATGTTGATCCCAAGGCGATCGAAGAAGAACTCAAGGACCGGTACAAGCTGGCCCCAATCGCTCTTTCGGATGACGAGGCGAGACGAAAACGTGAAGACGTACCCGGATTGTCTTTTCCTGGTGCACTTCCAGAAGGGAACGGTGACGCTGAATGCGCTGCAGGCTATCCGCTCAATCTACTCCATAATCGTACGATGGGAGCCATACCGTGGAGGCCATCGCGATGTGACCCAGTGCCAACGATGTCTGAACTTTGGACACGGCACTCGCAACTGCAACATCAAGCCACGCTGTAGCAACTGCGCTCAAGAACACGCCACTTCCAACTGCCCTGCGGATGGAGCCGTGGCGTTAAAATGCGCCAACTGTGGTGGTGCTCATCAAGGTTCCGACAGACAGGGCTCCAAACGCGAGGACTTCAAACGCATCCGAAAACAGGCGGCAACTAACAACCAACCAGGACGCAAGAAGGACAAAGTCCCGGCATTTCGGACGGAGGATTTCCCGCCCCTTCGTGCTCCTCAGCAAAGGCAAGTGAATTCGCGGGTGCATTCCGCTCAAGCAACTTCCGGTGATTCTGCTGGCCAAAGCTCGCCATCCCCCCCTGGATTCTGGAGACAACCAACAGCGCAAAACAACAACCCCGATCTGTTCTCAGCGGATGAACTGATGGAAATCTTCGTCAACATGTCCGGTGCTCTTCGTAAGTGCCGCAATAAGCCCGAACAGATCCAAGTGCTCGGTAAGTTCATCATCCAGTATGGCGTCTAAACTGCTAAGTATCGTCACCTCGAATGCTTGCTCTGTAAGAGCAAAAGAGATTGAGCTTGCCGACTTCCTCCGCAAGCACAGCATCGACGTGGGCCTTCTAACCGAGACCCATCTAAAGTCCGGCGACAGCTTCTGGTTGCCTGACCACAACATTATCCGGCTTGATCGCACCAGCTCCAGGGGGGGGTGGTGTTGCGGTCGTCGTCAAGAAAGGAATAAAATACCACACTCTGTCCCATATCCGCACCACTATCATCGAGGCCCTTGGTGTGGAGGTGGAGTCGTCGACTGGATACGTCCAGTTCATCGCCGTCTACTGCCCTCGACAGTGTGCCGCCAGCAGTGGACTAGCTGCTAAATTCAAGAAGGACCTTTCCACCATCACCCGTAACGGTTCCCGCTTCGTAGTAGGAGGAGATCTAAACGCGCGCCATGAGGCCTGGCTTAACTACAGGCAGAACCAGAACGGTCGTCTGCTGTTCGACCACTCACAGCATGGGCTGTACTCCGTTTGGTTTTCGGATGAGCCAACATTTATCTCACCGGCGGGCAACCCATCGACGCTAGACCTGTTCCTGACAAATATCGGCTTGTCCAAGCCGGTAGCCTTGAACGAACTCAGCTCCGACCACAAACCGGTGGTGTCTGAGCTAGGCTGCAACGTGGCTCCTGCTTCAAGCCTGCGCAAGGACTATCATCGCGTAAACTGGGCCCAGTTTGGACGCGTGGTAGACAGGCACATCATCGACAACCCGCCGCTTGACACCGTGGAGGACATCGACCGAGCGTTGGAGGGACTCCACCAAGCCATAACCGTGGCTGACGAGGCGTGCGTCCGACGAGTTCCTGTGAGGGGTAAGTTTATTGCTATTGATTCCCACACCCAACTCTTAATTCGCCTGAGAAATGTTCGTAGACGCCAGTTTCAGAGGACTGGAGATTCAGCGATGAAACGTGA